GCCCCCTGCTGGAGGGAACGGGCCCTGCTCTGTGTGTGTGTGTGTGTCCCTGCCGCCCCCTGCTGGAGGGAACGGGCCCTGCTCCATGTGTGTGAGTGTGTGTGTGTGTGTGTGTCCCTGCCGCCCCCTGCTGGAGGGAACGGGCCCTGCTCCGTGTGTGTGTGTATGTCCCTGCTGTCAGGAATGGGCCCTGCTCCATGTGTGTGTGTGTGTGTGTCCCTGCTGTCCCCTGCTGGAAGGAACGGGCCCTGCTCCGTGTGTGTGTGTGTGTGTGTATATGTGTGTCCCTGCTGGAGGGGATGAGCTCTGCTCTGTGTGTGTGTGTCCCTGCCGTCCCCTGCTGGAGGGAACGGGCCCTGCTGTGTGTGTGTGTGTGTGTCCCTGCCGTCCCCTGATGGAGGGAACGGGCCCTGCTGTGTGTGTGTGTGTGTGTGTGTGTCCCTGCTGTCAGGAACAGGCCCTGCTCTGTGTGTGTGTGTGTGTGTGTGTATGTCCCTGCTGTCAGGAACGGGCCCTGCTCTGTGTGTGTGTGTGTGTGTGTGTGTGTCCCTGCTGTCCCCTGCTGGAAGGAACGGGCACTGCTCCGTGTGTGTGTCCCTGCCGCCCCCTGCTGGAGGGGACGGGCCCAGCTCTGTGTGTGTGTGTGTGTGTGTCCCTGCTGGAGGGGATGGGCCCTGCTCTGTGTGTGTGTGTGTGTGTGTGTGTGTGTGTGTCCCTGCTGCCCCCTGCTGGAGGGGATGGGCCCTGCTGTGTGTGTGTGTGTGTGTGTGTGTGTGTGTGTGTGTGTGTGTGTCCCTGCCGCCCCCTACTGGAAGGGACAGGCCTTGCTCTGTGTGCACGTGAGAGAGAGACGATGCCAGTAGAAAGCTAGCAGGAGGACTCTGTAAAAGGGACCCCGAAAGGAAGCAGAGAGAGGGAGACAGAGCTTCTGGGGCCCAGACTTGCTGTGATTACAATCCAGTCTCATGCTTCAGGGAATCAGCTGGGTGCCTGTAGGGTCAGGAAGGATTTTTTTCCCTGAGGCACAATTGACCAGATATATTCTGAGGTTTCTTTGCCTTCCTCTGAAGAGTCAGGGATCAGCCGCAGCTGGAGACAGGACCCCGGACGGGGGGGCCAGAGAACCCTCTTTCTAGGTGCCCAGCTGGCTGGTTCTTGCCCACAAGCTCAGGGTCCAAGTGATCACCAGGTTGGGGATCAGGAAGGAATTTCCCCCCAGGTCAGATCGGCAGGGACCTAAGGGGGCGAGGGGGTGTTCTGCCTTCCTCTGCCGCACGGGGTGTGGATCACCTGCTGGGAACACCGGGGTGGGTCTCCCCGCTCAATTCCCTGCCATGGCAGGGGCCCCGGGCTCGGCATGGGGCGCACACCAGGTGGGTGCTCCCGAGGAACGAAACACTGCACTCTAAGTGAAGGCTTAGAGCTCTGCACAGGGGGATCGGAACGGCCCGTGGCTAGGAGATCCAGCTAGAGCGAATGGGCCCTTCTGGCCTTAAACCCAATGAAATCTAGGAAATGTGGCGAGGAGTCTGTGTATACACACACCAGTGCCCCACCCCAGAGGTGGCCGCATCTCAGCACTGGGCGAGGAATCCGTGTCTATACAGCCCCTGCGCCCCACCCCAGAGGTGGCCACATCTCAGCACTGGGCGAGGAATCCGTGTATACACACCCCAGTGCCCCACCCCAGAGGTGGCCGCATCTCAGCACTGGGCGAGGAATCCGTGTCTACACAGCCCCTGCGCCCCACCCCAGAGGTGGCCACATCTCAGCACTGGGCGAGGAATCCGTGTATACACAGCCCCAGTGCCCCACCCCAAAGGTGGCCGCATCTCAGCACTGGGCGAGGAATCCGTGTATACACAGCCCCAGTGCCTCACCCCAGAGGTGGCTGCATCTCAGCACTGGGCGAGGAGTCTGTGTCTATATGGCCGTCCCAACCCCGTTGTTTGTCTCCCCCACCGCCGGGGGGGTGTTCCCACAGGCTCTCCCCGCAGTGTGCACGGCGGATGCGGGCGCGAGGCCGGGCTCACCTTGGACAGGCAGTGACAGATGCGCGCCTTGGCCTTGATGATATAAACCTCCACTTGCGGCTCCGTCTTCATGGCTGCTTTGTACTTGTCGATGGCTTCCTCGTACCTGTCCCCGGGAACGGCACGTGTCAGCCGCCGGCGGGGCTCGAGCGGGCAAAGGGGCGGGGAGGGGAATGGGGCCAAACTCAGGGAGCACCCAAAACAGGCCAGACCTAGAGCCAGGGAGGGCTTCCAGGGGAAAGGGGCAGAGGAAGAGATCCCAGAATACCCGCCTGCCCCCAGGATTCCTGTTTAACCAGCCCCTGTGCTCCACCCCAGAGGCGGCTGCATCTCAGAGACGGCTGAGGGGTCCCAGTATAAACATCCCCCATGCCGCACCCCAGAGATGGCCGCATCTCAGAGCTGGGCAAGGCGATCCCTGTATAAACAGTCCCCGTGCCCCACCACAGAGGCGGCTGCATCTCAGCCCCTCCACTACTCCCAGGACCCCAGCGGAGCGGGGGATGGGGGGATTTCAGGGAGCACCGTAGAGCCACGGCACACCCGGCTGGGAGGACCCCACCTCTCCTGGCCCCTGGCTTTATGGGAAGCGGGTGGCAGAGAGAGGGCGGGCAGGGTGGTCACCTCTGCGCTCGGACGTGCTCCTCAGCCGACTCCAGCTGCTTGGAGAGCTTCTTGACCTGCTTGTAGTGGGCGAAGCACGCCTTGTCGTCCTGGTCCAGCTTGAGACATTCACGTACCTGCCTGGGGAGGGGAGACCGGGGACAGGTGGGGGGGGGGGTCTGGGAGACGCGGGGGTCCTCCAGCCCCCAAGATCCCAGCGCACCCGGGCGGGGCTCAGAGTCAAAGCCTGGCTCCTCCAGGGGCAGGGTTTCAAGGTGGCCCGGTGCGGGGAGGTTCCTCGTACAGCCCCCCAGACATCCCGCACCCCTGCCAGCACCGCCTCGTGCCCCCCAACTCACGCCAGGGCCTCCTCGTGCTCCCCCAGGCCGTAGTAGAGCTGGCTGAGCTTAAGGAAAGCCGCCCGGTTGTCGGCGCGGAGCTTGGTGGTGGGTTTCAGGTCCAGGATGGCCTGGCCGTAGTCGCCCAGCAGGAGGTGGCACTCGGCGCGCAGCTCCTTGGCATCGGGGTCCCACGGGGAGATCTGCGGCCAAGGGAGCGAACGGGAAAGGTGAGAAAGGCTGGACCCCGCCTGGACTGACGGCGTGCTGGTGGGCAGGCGCGCCGGCTTCCATCAGAGAGGGGAAACTGAGGCAGGGCCTGAGGCCGGGTTCAGGCGGACCCACCGCCAGCCCCTTGGTTCCAGATCCCTCTGGCTTTTTAAGGCGGCAGCAGGGGGATCGAAGAGCTCTATGGGTTCACATTCATACTTCCAAGCCCAACACCCGAGACTCCCCCAACTTTTCTGCACAATCGGCCCGGCTGTTCCTCCACCGCTCCAAGCTCCGGCGCCAGGCCTCAGCCAGCCCAGGCCGCAGTAAGCAGCCCTGGGATTGCCAAGGGAGCTGCGTTTGGAAATGCTGCTGCATTGGCCTGTAGGAATTGTACGTTGGGTGCCTCATCTCCCCCATTCTCTGCTATGGGCCAGGCTTCCCGGCTGGACCACATCTCCCATGATGCACCACAGCCAGGGACTCCCATCATGCCCCACCTTCCCTCTCCACGAGGGGGGAGAGCGCCGTGTACCATGGGAGATGTAGTTCGGACCAGATTCCCAGGGCAGATATCATGGCAGTCTCCGCCTCTTGGAGGGTGAGGGGATGCATCGTGGGAGGCCGTGGCGCATCATGGGAGATGTAGTCCCAGCTGGGAGCCTACAGAGGTGATGCACCGCCTCCCTGCCCAAAGTGTGAACCTTACGGGGCTCAAAGCACCTCTGAACAGCTCTCCCCAGCTCTCAGAGACGGCGCGATCCCCGCGGAGGGGGACAGCCCCCTCTCCCGGCGGATACCTCGACGACTCGCTCCAGGATGCCAATGGCTCCCGCGTACTCTGTCCTCTGATAGGCTGCCCGGGCCTCCTGCATGGTCACTTCCAGCTCGGTGAGTCTGGCGAGCTGGCTCTGAGCCTCCTTGTGGCCAGGATCGCTCTGCAGCTGCGGGGGGCGTGAAGGGGGAAGAAGAGGGGGGAAAAAAACCAACAAGGATTGGCAGAGGCCTAGAGAGGGCCCTCTGGCAAAGGGGGAGGGTCCCCCAGCCAGTGCCCTTTGGGGACAGAGGTTCCATTCCCAGGCCTCTCACGAGGGGTCCCTTCTCACGGCACTCACCACGGCTTCGAAGTCCTGCTTGGCCTGCTCCGTGTTGCCCTGCTTCAGGAGAATGTTACCCCTCTGCAGCCTGGCCTGGAGCGGAGAGAGAGAGAGAGAGCAGATTCCCGGGGTGAGAGACTCCGGCAACGGCAGATTCAAATCGGCGCCCTCGATCGAGGCAAAGTTCTTAATGCTTAAACCCAGTCAGTTGCAAAAGGCAGCGCTCTCGCCAACTCGGGGCCGTAACGGCCGCCACAACGGATGTGCCAAGTTCGGTTCCCGGGGGGATGTTTGCTAAAGCATCCGAGGGACGAGCCTACGTGGCCTGGGAAAGTCAAGGCTATGTAACGTTTCAGACCTAGCGCTTTTCATCTATGGAGCTCAGCGCACGTGCCAAAGGAGATTCGGCGTCATTATCCCTGTTTTACAGATCGGGGAAACCGAGGCGCTGGGGTTCTCAATTTTTTTTTTTTTTTTTTTTTTGCTGGGACCCACTTTGAAAATATTTCAGGCTCTGAAGAGTCCCCTCCACCAACCCCCTGCCACCCTTACTTCTGCGCTGCTGCTGGGGGCGGTGCTGCCTTCAGTGCTGGGTGCTTGGCCAGTAGCTGCTTCTCTCCGATCACCCAGCTCGGAAGGGCTCGGGCGGTCAGCCCCGCATGTGGCTGGCAGCCGGCATGCCCGGACCTGCCAACTTGCAGCCTCCCTGTAATAACCTCGCGACCCCCAGCTTGACAACCCCCACGCTAGATTTTTAGGGGCATTCTTACCTTTAAAAAAAAAAAAAAAAAATCTGGCCGAAGTGACTTAAAATCAGGACCAGCCATTTCCATCTACGCTGCAATCAACGCCCCACGGCGCAGCCCAGCTTGGCTGACTCAGGCTCGTGGGGCTAAAAACTGGAGTGTAGACACTCGGGGTTAGCCGGAGCCCTGGCTCTCAGATCCTGCATGTCTGCCCGGCAACTTTTAGCCCTGCAGCCCAAATCGATTGTCCTGGGCCCTGAGACTCAGTGCTGTGAGTTTTTTATTGCAGCGTAGACATCCCCTGCTCTACTTCAAAGAGGAATTCGTTCAGGAAAACATCCCATTTTGATTTTAAAATGGTCAGTGATGGAGAATCCATTAGCCCCATCTGACAGATGAGCAAACTGAGGCAAAGTGATTTGCTCAGGGTCACCAGTCGCAGAGCTGGGAACAGAACCCGGGTCTCTAGACTAGCCCACACTGCCTCCCGCAGGATTTTTTGCAAATCGCAACTTGCTTTCAGTGGTGTCTTCCTTAGGTACCTTGAAAACCCGGCCATAAAAAAAAGCATAGTTAGGGAGAAGAAAAATAGGCCGCCGGATTTTCAGGGTTTTAGCTGGCGCTCCCTGTTGCACCTTCGGCATACCAAAGCAGTTCACAGACCCTGGTTAATCCCGGGCGGGGAGTGTCGTTAGCCCCAGACAGGGAAACCGAGGCACCGAAAGAGGCCGGGCCTGGCCTCAGGCCCAGCTGGGAGGCAGTCGGGCGAATCCACCGAGCTCTCCCAGTCATGTAAGAAGGCGACGCTATTTACAGCTTTGTGTCAACACACATCCAGCCGAACCGGTTTTGAATCAGCTTTGGCAGCTCAGTGCTGGCAGGGAATCATTCTGAACAGCCGTGTCTGAGCTCAGGCAGAGCGAGAGAGAGAGAGAATGCCCAGGATAGCCAATGCCTAGTGGTTAGAGCTATCGCATGGGATGTGGGAGGCCTGGGTACGAGCCCCCGATCTGCACGGTTTTCGGCTCAGGGATTCGAGAGGGAAATCTCAAGTAGGTAACATTCTCTCTATATTTGGTGACCATCGCTGCTGGTATCCTGCGTCCAGCTGCGGGGTTCCACCACTCCAGAAGGACGTGGATAAACTGGAGAAGCTACAGGAGCGATTCAAAGACTGGAAAACATGCCCGAAACTGAGAGACGGCAGGAGATTGATCTGTTTAGCTTGATAGAGAGAAGACGAAGGGGTGACCTGATCCCAGTTTATAAGCACCAATGCAGAGAACAGCCACACGATAATAGTTGGCTCTTCCATCTAGGAGAAAAAGGACTAACCAGCTCCGATGGCTGGATATTGAAGCTGGACAAATTCAGACGGAAAATAAGGCGTACATTTTTCACAGTGAGGGTAACTCACTACTGAAACCACTGACCGTGTTTAAATCATGATCGGATGTTTCTCGACAAGAGCTGCTGCAGTTTAACCTGGAGATATTTTGGGGACGTTCTCTGGTGTTTATTACACAGGCGAGATGCTCAGAGTGGTCCTTTCCAGCCTTGGGATCAACGAATCTGGGTCTCCCACCCCCTGAGCTGAGCGCTCTGACCCCCAGGGGAGAGCCAGTCCCCCCACTATATCCCTGCAAGCCCGAAGTGGGAACAGCAGGTGGGACTTACGGCCAGGAAGTCCGGCTTGAGCTCAATGGCCTTCGAAAGGTCGGGCAGTGCCGAGCGGAACTTGCCCATGGCCAAGTAGATGGTGGCTCGCTTGTAATAGGTGAGGTAATTCTTGGGGTCGCCTTCTGCAGGAGGGAGAATATATTACTGGAGTCCTGGCCCCGCCCCCAATCTTCTGGTCCCGCCCAGATTTGTTCTCCTTGCCCACTACCCACTCCCTGCCAACCTCAAGGCCCCATTCCCGTATCTGCCCCACAGCTGTCCCCCCAAATGCCCCTCCCTGGCGCTGAATTCCTGCTCACTGTCCCCGGGGCATCCCCGATGCTCCGTGCCTGCCTGGCACAGTGGCGAGCGTGGAGGAGGCTAGTGTCCGCCGTGCTCCCGGGCTCGCCGGCGACACCGCACGCCCGCGCCCACTTACCGACAGCGGAGTGGTAGTGAGACAGCGCCTCGGCCAGCTGTCCGGCCGCCAGCAGCTTGCGCCCCATTTCCAGGTGGTTCTCGATCTCGGCCTGCCCGGAGGCCAGCAAACCTGCAGCGGACAAAGTGGCTCATCGTCACTGGTTTGAGGGGAGTCAGGGCTGGGGGCCCCACTGAAATCCCCATCTCCCCGACCTACACACTGCTCTAGTATTCAGAGAACCACAGGGTCACCTCGTCACTCTCCCCCAAGATGCAGGATCTGGGGGGTCTAAACCATCCTAGCCTCCTTTGGAAAACCTCCAGTGAGGGAGGTTCCACCCCTTCCCGAGGCAGCATCAAACTGTCCATTGCCTGCTAGCCGTGCCCCCCCTCGCATGGCCATGCCCCCTTTCTATCAGCCCCGCCCAGCCCCCCCATAGCCCCATCCCCTTCTACACTAGCCCCCACTCTCATGGCCTTGCCCCCTTGCTGCCTGCCCTGATGCCGCCTTCCCACCCCGTCACTTTTCCATGCTCTCCTGACCTCACCTGCTCTTCCCCCAGTCTTGGGACCCTTCACCTTCCCCACTCTCCTGCCCCCTCCCACCCATCCCCACTTTCCTAACCCCATCTGCCGCCCCACCAGCACCACCCCCACTCTCCTGCCCCCGCCCCCTCCCACACAACCCACCCCCACTTTCCTAACCCCACTAGCCACACCCCCACTCTTGTGCACCCCCCACACAACCCCACCCCCATTCTCTTAACCCCACCCACTCCATCCCCAGTCTTGTGACCCCCTCACCTTCTCCACCAGCGCCACCCCCTTTCTCCTGACCCCCTCCTACCCCACCACCACTCTCCAGGCCACGCCCTTTCCCTGCCAATTAAGGGGGCATCCTCCCTTGGCTTCCCTGGGGTGACCAGCTGTCCCGATTTGATAGGAACAATCCCCATATTGGGGGCCTTGTCTTATGTAGGCGCCTATCACCCCCCCCACCCCCGATTTTTCACACTTGCTTCCCCTTCTCTGCAGGTGGGGGAAAAAGCACCAGGGGTCGGAGCCAGCAGCAGGTGGGAGGAGCCACGGGAGGAACTAAAGAGCAGCTGGTAGGAGAGGGCGGAGCCTGCAGGGAGGGGCGGGGCCAAGGCGGAAGGTGGTCGTCCAGGTGGGGGCGGGGCTAGGAGCGGCCCAGGGGCGGGGCCAGCAGGGAAGGGGCGGGGCCAAGGCGGAGGGTGGTCGTCCAGGTGGGGGCGGGGCCA